TAAAAACTTTGAGTTTCTAGAAATCCCAGTGCGTTTTCTTACCTGCATTTTCTTAACTTTCATACAAGTTATCACCAAAACTCTGTTGGTTGTTGGATACATTGGTTTTTCAGCGTGGAATTGTGCGATCAATGTTTCTGATTGAACTTTTATTTAATTTCAGATTGGAATGGGTATATATCTCAGCACTCCCAAAACTGAAAAGTTCTCTGAAGATGGTGAGAATGGCCGGGTCAGATATGGTTTGTCATCAATGCAAGGATGGCGTGCCACCATGGAGGATGCCGTGAGTAAATAAAACCTTGCTCTTCCTATTAGAAGTTATTTTGAGAAAATAAGTACCTCTGTGTACATTTTTAGAACTTTACTCTTTTATTGTTTTCCATTTTTGTTTAGCATGCTATCGTTAGGATTGAACTGAGTATGATATTACCTGACATGTTCAAATTGACTGCATAATCTTAATTCCACTTGGGTTATTCTTATTTATTCTTTTAATTAGGACAGAGGTCGATTGTCTTTGGGCATGTGTTGGTGAAACTTTAGTCTTGGGTGCTACTCCTTGCTAGTAGCCTAGGAGTCTTCCCTGGTATGTTTATTGGGCTAGTCCTATTGGTGGTCTCGGGTTGTTTCAGTAAAGAAACAATCAGGACTATGGGAAGTAGTACAGTACAAAATGTTGTACACTTTGTAGTGTAGCAGAGAGAAGCTGCTATGATTATTTACTTTGTTTTTCAGAAAATTTTGTGACATCATTAATGCGCTGTTTGTTACTTTGTTGATTTGTTTTGTTAGCATGCAGCATATCCCGATCTCGATACATCCACCTCATTCTTTGGTGTTTATGATGGCCATGGAGGTAATAAGGGGCAATTTCAAGTATCTGTGTTTGTAAATTGTACTAGAGGATCAATTTATATGAATGTAGTATTGATAATTTTTGTTACTGTACCATCATTCAGTTGACCTCTATCTCGGTCTACCCAGAAGAGTCATTGATTATACTCTTAGTTGTAAGCATATACTCATCTCATTGATGAGGATGGGTAACCGATAACATGTAATCCTTTTTTGGTAAATACCACGAGGTGTCCCCACATCCGAAGGGTGGGATTAATCCCCGCTCGGGGTTCGGTTTGCCCCTGGCCATAAAGTGCTTCCAATGGGTTTCGAACCCCTGCCATTGAGGCACTAGGTAGCTCGCCAGCTGGAGGTGGTAGTTTGCCAACTGCACCACACCTTGTGGTTAACATGTAATCCTTTTTAGTACAAGAATTAGTGCCTTCTTCTTGTAATCAGACCTACATATGCAGTTTGTGAAGTATATTAGCAATAATTTATATTTTTTGTATTATTATTTACCTATGTTCAATAATTCTCTAGGTAAGGTAGTTGCTAAATTCTGTGCGAAGTATCTTCACCGACAAGTGCTCAAGAATGAAGCATATGCGGCTGGAGATATAGGAACTTCTGTTCAAAAAGCTTTTTTCAGGTTACACCTTTAATGTACTTAAATTCAGTTTCCTTCTACCGCTTTCTTAGTGGAGGGGATGAATACAAATGCATTTATTCATGCTATATTGTAAGCGATGTATCAATAGCCTTGTGTATTTGATTCATGAATCATACCCATAACAGCTCTGATTGATAATCCTTGTATTTTAGTATGTTGTACTATGTTATTGTCCACATATTTTCATGGTAAGTGTGTGAAGAGAGTGTTTTATTTATTTTTGACTGGAATCCCAAGTTTTGATATAATAATGAGAATGTTCACGATTTTAAGTAGTGACTTATTTAATTTTTAAACTAGTCTCATTATGTGTTGAGACTGCCGAAGAAAGATCTTACCACATTGTGTTGCTTTAATATTGGGTGATTTGAGATGGTTTATGCCTATTTTGTCCCGGATCCTCATGAGATCACAGATACTTGACACGGTAATACTTGTTCAAGCTGTAAATGTTAACAATAAAAAGAAATAGACTATAATTGCGTACCTTTATACTTGTGGTCTTGTTATCCTTCATTGAGATTGAAGATGTTGTTAGTTGATTTATGCAGAATGGATGAAATGATGCGTGGACAAAGGGGCTGGAGAGAGTTAGCTGTTTTGGGAGATAAGATAAACAAGTTTACTGGCATGATAGAAGGGTTAATTTGGTCCCCAAGGAGCAGTGAGGGTAATGATCAAGCTGATGATTGGGCTTTTGAGGAGGTAGGTGCAGGAATCATAAAGTTGATTCGAGTTATTTATCTTTATCAGGAGCAGATACTGATCTGCTTGATCTCACTTTATTGTTTATTAATTTGAGTACTAGGATTCTTTGGGTAATTCAGAAATTAATCATTCAATAAATGCAATTTGTATGCTGGTAGGAGTACTTTCCCTCTGCTAATACCAACACAACTTTCTTTAACAGTGTTGATTTGGCAAGCAATAAGCAATTTGTTTAATTGGTTTCATAATGTCTATGCATTCCATAATATAAACTCAAATGTGTTTTCAGGGGCCTCACTCTGATTTTACTGGCCCAACTTCTGGGAGCACAGCCTGTGTTGCAATTCTTAGAAACAACCAACTCGTTGTTGCAAATGCTGGTGATTCTCGTTGTGTAATATCTCGGAAGGGTCAGGTAATTTATTGTTTTCCAATGATTTGCATGCTTGTTAGCTGATTAAATATCGAAGCAAGGCTTTGCTGCCCTTTCAATATTAAATGGTTCACAGTGATGAGCATTTGACTTAAATTCCAAGGCTATTTAAACATGTTAATCAAGAATATTTGTACATTTTTTATTCACATTGATCATTGTTCTGATTTCACTTCTCCTTTTCAGGCATATAATCTGTCAAGAGATCACAAACCTGATCTTGAGATTGAGAAGGAGAGGATTTTGAAAGCCGGTGGTTTTATCCATGCAGGACGAGTCAATGGCAGCTTGAATCTTGCAAGAGCTATAGGTAATTTCACTGCATGGGAATTTTATATATATATATTAGCTTGAATCTTGAAAAAGATACGAACATGCTTGCACACACACACACACACACACACGCACACACAAATCTATTGGCATTGGTCTGCTACATTACGTGTATGCATGTTTGTGGAGGGGAGCTAAAGGGAGAATATTTTGTAATTCCCATACTCATATTAGTTTTTTGCATGTACTGCAGGTGACATGGAATTCAAGCAGAACAAATTTTTGCCAGCTGAAAAGCAAATTGTAACTGCCTGTCCAGATATAAACACTGTATGTGTATATGTATATATATATATATACTTCATGGGTGGATAAAATGGTGGTTTTGGGGTTATCTACATTTTCTAGTTTCACAAAATTGTTTTGGACCTATTTTTTGTAAAATTAAAAAAAAACGACAAACAATTATTAGCTGTTAATTTTATCTTCCATTTTAATAATTATTATTATTTTGTAATTAGGTTGAGCTTTGTGATGATGACGAGTTTATCGTGCTAGCATGTGATGGCATCTGGTATGTGTCTTGAGCTTTACATTTTTTCTTTTTAGCTTTGATGACTTTCCTGTCTTATAAGGAGGCTTGCCTCATTTTCACTTTGAAGACTCTGTCAGCCTTATTGATGGACTTTAGCCACTATATCATACCTACATCCAGAATTTAAAAATAATGGTTGATGACAAATAATTTATGCTGATATGATTCTGCTTTTGATAAGTCTTGTAATATATTTATGTTATGGATGCTTATCGGAAATCTAAGTTAATGTTTTTGTTAATTTCTTACAGGGATTGCATGTCTAGCCAGCAAGTGGTTGATTATGTACATGAACAACTGGTCTCGGTGAGTGCATATTTCTCTCCCTTTTCTTTTTGTTCTTTTGGTTTGAAATCAAGCACAGCAGTCTCGGAATGCAATTGAAGTTGTTCTTTATACACTGATTATGTTGCTTGATTGGTTAAGAATGATGTCTAGTATTGCGTCTCTTTGACACTCATCTTGTAAATCATGCAGGAAAGAAAGTTGTCTGTGGTGTGCGAGAGAGTCCTTGATAGGTGTTTGGCGCCAACGACTGCTGGTGGTGAGGGGTGTGATAACATGACCATGATCATAGTGCAGTTCGTGCAGTTAAAGAAGCCCCTGCAGTCAGCTGGATCTGCAGACGAGAGACCCTCACCAACCGAGGAAGCTGGAACTGGAAGTGATTCAAAGGCAGGTGAAAGTGAACCGAAGTAGTGGCTGCTGTGTGCCATGAAACTAGAAGGGATTGCATCACGTTTTACTCTTTCAGAAGAGAATGGGTTCACAGATTTGTAATTGTAGATGGATATGGTTTAGCGGGAAAAATGAATGGATTAACAATTAGTTTAAAACTCGTTTTTTGTGCTCTTGAATGCTTTGTTTTACGTTTGGAAACGCAAAACTTGAATAGTATGTACAGATTATAACAAAGTACAACCCAACTGTTTGAACAACAGCAGCATATGCTATATAAATATTTTGAGCTATTTACAAGTTCTATAATCAGCCTTCTGAACTTTTTGGTCATCAAAATGGCCTTGTAATTTGTATTTGGTGGCCACAAAATAAAATGAAAAAGGCAGAAAAATAGTGTTTTTGGGGCAAGAAAGTCTTGGTTTGTATATTATCGTCCATCTCAATAAGAAAGATTTTAATAAAATAGAAAAAAACAAAAAAAAAACTAGCTGGACAAAGTATAGAGGTTACCTTTACTGGATCTCTGTCTCTCTCTGTCGTATCAGTGGCCTGGTGAATCAAGATGGGTAATTACATAATTATTTCCAATAAAAGAAAGCCTGAAAAATTGGCAATTCAACATAAGGTAAAGGTTCGTAGGAGGGGACAGAAGATTAAAAATGAAAAATAAAAAAGAAAAGGGTATTTTGGTACTTTTGTTGGTTATCAAACACCACCGTCTCAAGGCCTTATTAGCTAGAAGCCTATAAACTGCAACCCATGAGTAAACAGCAGCCATTTTATCGAACTTACCTTTTTCTGCAGCATCCTCTGTCCTTTCTTCTCTCTCTCTCTCTCTCTCTATCTCTCCCCCAAAAAGCCAAAGCCCTCCAAATTCCACTACATAGGAAAATAAGTCACTTTCTCTATCTAAAATGGCCCAGCTGGGCCAAAACTTATGGAGAGGAGGAGAAAAACAAAAGAGAAAGATGGCAAGGATAGATATGTCTTCAAATGTCCTCCAACTCCAACCACACCTCTTTCTCAAAGACCATATTTTTACTTCCCACAATTGCCCTTCTGTACATTCCATCTTCATCACTCATTACTTTGTATTCTTATCTCCGACCTTCATGGGCCTTTTCGGGTTCTCACAAATCGCAGAGTTTCAGACCCAAACAGATATGATCCAACTGGATACACAAAACCATCTCTCTCCATAATTGCTTTTTATTATTATTAATTATTATATTCCCTTCCCTTCCCTCTCCCTCTCCCTCTCCTCGTCTCTCTAGAATCGCAAACCTTATCTCCTTTTTCGAGTTGGTTTTGCGTTTTCTTTGCTTAATCTCCAAGGTTTTAGCTTTATTTTTCCCCAATGGAGTTTGATTTTTGACAAGATTATGAAAGGGTAATTTTTGGGTCCCTAAAATATCCGAATTTTATTTCCTAATTGGATGCGGATTTCTATTTTCTTTGCTATATAGCAGAGTTTAATGGTCAAAGATTCCACATTTGAGAAGGAGATGAAAAGGGGTTCACTGGATTTTGATCACTTTTCTCTCTGGAGTCTTGTTGGGTATGGTGCTTAATTTGCAATTTTGATGCTGGGATGCAATTCTGAAGAGAGAGATGAAAAGGGTTGCTGTTAATTCTCATAAATCTCAGCCTGTTGATGAGGAAGCTAGGGTTAATTTTAGACATGAAAGTCTTCTGCAAGATTACCTTGAACGACAAAAGGTTAGTTTTTGTTTGACTTTTGTTTTGTATTGGGTTTGTATTCTCTTACTGATTTTGATATCTAGGTGTGGATTTCTCTGGTCGAATCATGTTTTTATAATTCTTATCGAAATTCTGTTATGATGTTTTGTGTTGATTCTAGTTTAGCTTTCTCTGATTATAATGGTAGTTTGACTAGTTTGTCATTGAGAATGATTCTGAATCGACATAAACTTGTTATCTGAAATCCCCAATCGTGAATCAAAGTCAAATACTTATTTATTATTATCAGTACTTTTTTTTAACATACAAACATGATTTAGGAGTTGGGACCGAAAAGGAAAAACATAGACTTCTTCTTCTTCTTCTTCTTCTTCTTCATTGTTACAGTTTTGGCAGCAGTCCGTTGAACATTAGGTGGAAGAAACCAACTTTATTGGGTTTTGATTATATGAATAAGTATGATAACGGTTTCTTTTGTTTTGTGTTTTTAAAATAGGAATTTGTATCAAAGAAGAAGAAATTGCATGCAGCAAGGCAGAAAAGAGACATCCTTTTAGGTGAAATTCGGTATGATCTTCGCTTTTTTATATATAAAGGTTTTGTGTATTACAATATTCTCTCTCAGAGAGTAGGAAAGTAAGAGAAGCTTGTAACCTAATTTGCTCCACTTCTGACCTTCAGATTTTTGAGACGAAGGCATAGGCATCTGCTGAAGATAAAATCAGCAGAGACTGAACCAGAAGTCCAACAACAGAAGTCTGACATACAACCTAAGAAGTTTTCGAGGAAAAGGAAAAGTGATGCAAATGAAGCTGTTCTAAATAAACCATCCCAAGTCTCGCCAGAAGGAGGAGGTGAACAAATTGTTTCAGAGCCCATAAGAGTAGAGAAGAAGCCTAAAAATTGCCTAGTTGATGACAAAAAAGTTGGAAAGAAAAAAATTACTTTGCAAGATCAGGTTGCTTTGAATGTTTAAATTCCAGGCCATGGAGAAAATACTCTGTTTTAGTGGGAGCCTCATCGTCATTGATAAAGATAAATATAATTCGTCTTTTTTTACTTGGTGTGTTCTTCATACTTTCCTTTTCAAAGAAAAATTTAAAAAATGTTTGTATCTGTCCAAGTTTTATTATGCTGTGTTCTTGATGTAATATTATGTGATAAGATCTCAATCAATATTGAGATGTGCACATTGTTGAATGGGAATGTGCAAAGATAAGAAACCCTGTCTTTAGGGGCAGCACAAGCAAAACCCTTCCAATTAATCTTCACAAAACAATCTCAGAAAGACAAAAATATACTCAATATTCGACAGGTCATGTATGCATTAGCTCTCTATTTGACATAGCAGGTGGGGAAGGAAGAAGTAAAATATAGATACATCATTTACACTATATATGTAACAACAGAGACCTTACAGAGTATACAGGGGTATGATAATATACCATGCATGTTACTTCCTTCTAGATACACATCTAGGCTCAGATAAGCAACATCAACGCCACAAAATTGGATTTTTATGCACTCAGTTATCACCAAAATCATTGACTGAGACTGCAGTGAAACATCCTGGAAAAAAGTTGAGTTCAGACAAACGTTTGACAGGAAAACCCCAAAACGCCAGAATTTGTATCAAAATTATGTTATTTCTGTAAAAACGTCTTTGGAAGAAAATTCTCAGTTGTGGTTATACAAAGGCTGAAAAAGAAGTATTACCCCACATAACTCAGATACCAAGATTTGTGTATATCTTGTAAGTCAAGTTTGATTGGGAAGCTGTGCAAATGTTCCTACATTGGGGCTGCAGCCCCCGACCATCATGTTCTTGTAAACTGCATAAGCATGATCTGGATTTCCAGATGTGCTATACAGTCGAATGAGAGCATTGTAGGTAAACACATCAGGTTCAAGACCTACAAGCTGTAGTTCTTCATAAATCCTCCCTGCTTGCTCCACCATTCCAACAAGTCCAAGATTGAGTATTAATGAATTGTACGTGAAAAGATCAGGAGCAATTCCTCTAGTCCGCATTTCATCATAAACAGAGAGAGCTTCCTCTACCCTCCGCGATCTTCCGAGTCCATTTATCATAAGGTTGTAAGAAACTGAGTCAGGATCAAGGCCACTTTGTTTTATCTCCTCAAAATATTGCAGAGCATCATCCACTCGCCCCGCCTGGCACAGGCAATCCACAAGAATGGTGTAAGACTTCAGGTCTGGTCTTATTCCTTCTCTAGTCATCCTTTTAAACAACTCGCAAGCAGCTTCCACATCACCTGTTTTTGCAAAACCATTTATGAGAATATTAAAAATAGCAGAATTAGGCTTGCATCCATAGTCTGCCATCTCCTCAAAAAAATGCATTGCTTCCTCTAGTCTTCCAGACTTGAAAAGTCCATCTATGAGAGGGCCATATGTACAAGGAGAAGGAGAGAAATCACCACTTACAAGATCATAATATAAATCAATAGCCCTCTCAATACTGTCAGATTTCACAAGACTGGAGATGACTATATTGTGGGTTATGGTGTTAGGTTTGCATCCCCTACAATTCATCTCCTCGTACAATTCAAAGAGTTCAGTGATGTTCCCAGACTTCCCATAAGCATCAAGTAACAAGTTGTAGGTGAATACATCAGGGGCACAACCAGAATTTTTCATCTCCACAAATAGATCCAAGGCTCTTTCAGTGACATGGTCTTTCAGAAGCCATTCAATCAAACAGTTATATGCTTCTAGTGTTGGCTTAATTCCGAGAGTTTTAGTAAATTTCTCAAATATATGGTGAGCATCAAAAGCTTTCCTACGTGTACACAAAAACCTAAGTAGAGGAATCAGTACAGAGTCATCCCGGCAAATCCTATCAGAGATTAACCTTTCAGCAAATAAAACGACTATGTCTATTTCAGCTTCAATCAAAATCCCACCCATTAAATCTTCCCAAAAAGGCCTGTCTGCTTTAACCCCAACCTGATACATGAAGTCCTCAGCAATTTTTAAAGCATCCTCAACGCGCCCGTCCTTTACTACACCAGGCAGGAGAGTGCACACTGTTATATGATCAGGAAATAGTGATTTCTTCATCTGATGGAAGAACCAGAATGCATAATCAATTCTGCTTTCTCTGATTAGGCCATAAATTACAGTATTATAGGTCAAAACATCAGGTCTGCAATTCATTGTGGTCATTTTGCAAAGCATTTTCAATGCCAAAGTAACCTCATCGTTCTTGCATAGGCAGTTCAGGAGTGTGTTGAAAGTTATTGTGTTTGGAGGACACCCTTGTTCGGTCATATTCTCAAACATTTCAATGGCTTTTTGGACTTGGCCCTCTT